ACCAAAGAATCCTCGCCAGGCCCTGACCGGCCCTCAAGCCAAGGAGTGGCGTGCAGCGATGGATGCGGAACTAAAGGCGCTGGAGTCTTGAGACACATGGGTCCTAGTCGATCGTGCAGCAGTGAAGGGGAGGAGGGTACTCAGCGGAAAATGGGTTTTTCGCCTGAAGACTAATGCTGACGGCACCATCGAGCGATTCAAGGCACGCTGGGTCGTACGTGGGTACGATCAGCGCCACGGCATCGACTTCGACCAAACCTTCGCTCCCGTCAGTCGTCACACCTCCGTCCGGATTCTACTCGCCATTGCCGCCGCTAAGCACCTACCACTGCGACAGATCGACGTGAAGAACGCGTTCCTATACACGCTGGTGGACGCTACCATCTTTGTGGAGCAGCCTCACACCTACGGAGAAGGGGATTCTAGGGCCTGTGAGCTGAACAAGTCCCTCTACGGGATCAAGCAGGCGCCTCGTCTCTGGCAGCAGCATCTGCACAAAATCCTCCTGGAGATCGGTTTCAAGCAACTGCCGCACGACCCGGGAATGTATCGCCTTCACTTTAGCGGCGATTACATCCTCCTGACAGTCTACGTCGACGACCTGCTGTACACGGGCACCTGCAACAAACTCCTTAACCAGTTCGAGGAGAACCTGGCGCAGCGCGTTGACATCACCATCAACCACAACGTGGAGCAGTTTTTGGGGCTGAACATCTCCTACGCACCAGAAGCAATTCACCTGTCAGCTTCGAAGTACGCAGAGCAGCTGGGGGAACGCTTCAACATCTCACCCGCACCACTCTCAACTCCTTACCGCAACCCCAGCGCCAACTACAAACCGGACAACAAACCTCTGTCACCCGCACGGCTCCAAATGTACCAGCAGAAGTTGGGGTGCCTGCTATTCGCCTCTGTCACCTGCCGACCCGACCTCTCGTACATCGCTAGCCAACTGGCGCAGTATTCCCGCAAGCCAGTAGCTGAGAACCAGCTGGACCTGGAGCGCGCCTTGCAGTACTTCTTCTCCACACCTGACATTGGGCTCTCCTACTCCACGCTGACGACGACCTCCTTCAACCTCAACGGCTACGTGGACGCAGATCATGCAGCTGATCCTGCAAATCGATGGTCCCGAACCGGCTTCGTTTTTCGCTTGGAACCAACTGGGCCAATCTCCTGGAACTCGCAGAAGCAGGAGCTGGTTGCCCTGTCATCTGCTGAAGCAGAATACATCGCCGCGACAGCAGCAGTTCGCGAAGGCCTGTACCTGCAGGAGCTGCTACAAGAGGCGAAAATCCCAACCTCGCCTACCTTTCGCCTCCACTGCGACAACCAGAGTGCCATCAGGATCGCGAACAAGCCAGGTTTTGTGAATCGCACGAAGCACATCGCACTGCGGTACTTTTTCGTCAAGGACGAAATTGACCAAGGAAAAGTTGACCTCGCCTACTGCCCGACTATTGAGATGGCAGCAGACTTCCTCACCAAGCGCCTGCCACGTCAGCAGTACAAGCACTGCTCTGACCTCACCGGAGTAGTCAAGCGAGTCAGCTCTTCCTGCGCCCAGGAATGAAGGGGAGTGTTACGATATGAAGATTTATGAGAAGGCATTCCTGTATGCTGCAGGAGCCGACTCTACCGAGTACGAAGTCGAGGAGTCAGAAGAGTCAAAGCGACGCAGCAACCGTCTGACCAAGACCGATGCAGGCAGAAACATTTGAAGTGAAAAGAGCGAGAACAGGTTTGAAACGGGTTCCTGCGCCGCACGGTTTGAATTTGGTTGCAATAAGGGAATGTACCCCTTAGAGTACATGGCTAGTCTAGGTCTTTTCGTATTCCCCTGTGTTCTTATATAAACCCAATGCATGCTTTTATCAACTCAGTCATTTACATTCACTCTGACCTGAGATTCAAACTTCCGCTGCAACACTACTCTGCGATCAACCCTGAGCAATCCTTCGCTAAGTCCCACTTGGGATTGTAACAGGCAGTTAGCCAACGGGAATCCCGGGTTACGGGACAGGGGGGGAGGGGAGGGGAGGGGAAGGGGGAGGTGAGGGGGGGGGATGGGTGGTACTCGCTTCACTGAGGCCAATGTGTGCCTAACACGTAAACCCTCGCATATCAGTAAAATCTAAGCCCATGAAAAAATTACCCTAAGGCAAAAGTGTGGCTAACAAAAAACCACCCTGATTATCAGGGTATCAGGGTGATTTACACTGATAAAATTAGCCCTGCTCGTGACACTCGCCTCGACCACTGTTCCCGCCATTTCGCACGTTACCGTTACCACGCCAGTTCGCTATATAACATTTCCTTGTTCCTTAGCTAGATGTAGTGTTTTGCTTAGATAGTGCAATATTCGTTCTCACTAAAGTGCACTCTAATAGCGGCTGTCAAAGGTTGCTAAATAGTGATTTAGTGATTCACTGAAGTTGAGATTTAGTCGCTAAATAGTGATGCGAGATTCTTACACATATTTCTAAATAGTGTCCCGATTCCGGGCTGGTTGTATTCGACGGAGCGTCAAACGTCAAGGCGTAAGTCAAGCGTCAGCGTCGAAGCGCTTTGACGCTTGACGCAAGCCAGTGTGAGCGTCGATCCCAACTTGACTGCCATGATGGCGCCCGGCGCGCACAAGCCCGGCCACCACAGGCAGCTCACCGCGCAGCAGCAGCTGCCGGGCGGGCAGCAGCCGCACGGCTGCGACGTGGTGTCGCGCCTCCTCGCGCCCTTCGCCGTGCTGCTCCTCCTCGCCGCCCTCCTCGCCTACCTCGCCCTCTCCCACGCGCAGGCCCCCCCGCCCGCGCTGCTCCTCGCCTCCACCAGCCGGCCGCCGCCCGCCGTGTCGCGGCGGGACGAGGAGGCGGGCGGCACGATGCGGTTCGACGGGGCGGCGAGGGTGGTGCGGCTGGCCGTGGGTGTGAGGGAGGGGGGAGATGCGGGTGGGGGGGAGGGGAAGGGGGCGGATGCGAGGCAGGACGCGCGCGGGTGGATGATTGACCCGCTTGCTGCAGCGGTGGCCGCTGGGCTGAAAGGTGATGAGCGGGGTGAAAGGTGAAGGGCGGGAATGAAAGGTGATGAGCGGGGTGAAAGGTGAAGGGCGGGAATGAAAGGTGATGAGCGGGGTGAAAGGTGAAGGGCGGGAATGAAAGGTGATGGGCGGGGTGAAAGGTGAAGGGCGGGAATGAAAGGTGATGAGCGGGGTGAAAGGTGAAGGGCGGGAATGAAAGGTGAAGGGCGGGAATGAAAGGTGAAGGGCGGGAATGAAAGGTGATGGGCGGGAATGAAAGGTGAAGGGCGGGAATGAAAGGTGAAGGGCGGGTGGAAGGTGAAGGGCGGGTGGAAGGTGTTGAAAACGAGGGTGGGAGGAGAAGTCTATAGATAGAGGGGAGAGGAGGTGACGTTCTGCCCTCCTCATGCCGTTTTGTCCTCCTCGTGACGTTCTGCCCTCCTCATGCCGTTTTGTCCTCCTCGTGACGTTCTGCCCTCCTCATGCCGTTTTGTCCTCCTCATGCTTCTGAGCTGTTACATGCGAGCGAGACCCATCTCGTTCTCTTAATCACACTCAGCACCTAATTCACTAAACTCTAGTCAATCATCTCAAGCCTCTTTGAGCCCACGGGTGCCCTCTGTGCCGCCCCTCCCCTTTCCTCCCAGGGGGTGCCACGTCATGCCTCATGACGCATGTGGGGGAGGTGCTACCTGAGAAGATTCGTGGAAACCACCGCCACCATGACTTCAACGAGACGTTGGTGCTGTGGGGGGCGAGAATGAGAGTGCGGGTGAGTGGAGCACGGAGAGGGGGAATGAGGGTGCGGTGGGGGGAATGAAAGTGCGGGTGAGTGGAGAGGGGGGATGAGAGTGCGGGTGGGGGAATGAAAGTGCGGGTGGGGGAATGAAAGTGCGGGTGGGGGAATGAAAGTGCGGGTGGGGGAATGAAAGTGCGGGTGAGTGGGGGAATGGGACGAGGAAAGACAGAGACAGCACTTAGCTGCCATTGTGATGGCATGGCATGTGACAGCATGCAAACGTGGAATATCCAACAGCAAGGGTGACAGGCGTCAGTCAGCAGTGCCCGTAGCCCCATCACCATCTCATCTCCCATTTTCCTGTGACAATCCTCCTCTCTACACGAGCCCCGTCTTTCCCCCTCCCATCCCCTTCCCCTACTGGCCCCCCGGGACTCGCAGAACGAGAACCGTGACGTGGCAAAGGGCTTTGCTGAGGTCATTCTGACAGCGGATGACGTGGCAGTGATGGCGTGTCCCGCCATGAGCGCCCATGCAGTGGTCAACATCGACACGTCTCGCTCCGCGTACCTTATGGCATGCCAAGACGGCCTGCATGACCCCAAGGACCCTCGCTCTGACTATGCCGTCTGGCCCGACCTTGTGTGATGGGCTGCGCATGCTGGTTGAGTAAAAAAATACACTGTAACATATATATTTTACTTTATATGAAATTTCTTCTTTATACAAATACAGTACATCCGAGGAAAGCAGGGAGGGTGACAGTGCAAGCCCCGGTGGGAATGTCTTGGTGCAACACTCCTTCACTAGCGACGGCAGTCTTGGCAAGGCAGGGAGTGGAGCAGCGGTGATCCGGTATCGCCACAGCCACAGCACCATCCCGCTTCTCCCACCTCTCTTGCCATCTGGCAGCCCCTCGGTGCAGATCTATTCCACCACAAGCTCTGGCTGATAGCGGTGTGGTGCCGTGGGGTGGAGAGGAGCGAAACAAGAAGGGTCAGCCGTGGTGCAGGCGCACGGAGGCCTTGAGCTTGTTGAGAAAGAAGTTCTCCAGTCTGGGCGCAGGGCGGGATGAGGAGGGAGAGGGGAGTGGGAGGAAAGGGCGATGGGAGGAGAAAGTGGTGATGCGCGTAGGGAGGCAAGGGAGCACGAGGGCAAGTGAAACTGAGATGGTTCCGCATCACCTGTTGGAGCACCTGAGACGTCACCTGAAGCTCCCATCTTTTCCACACCACGCAAAGAACTCACCGGTTGGCGCATTTGAAGTAGATGGTGTCGGGGGCGTTGTAGGTGCGCGCATTGGCAGTCATGCGGCGCATGTCCGCCACAAACATGTCGATCGTCACATAGAAGCTCTCCGCCTCCAGCCGCTTCTGCATCGTCTTCAGATCTGCCATGCCACGGGGGTGCAGGGGGGCAGGGTGGCAGGGGAGACAGGGGAGACAGGGGGGACAGGGGGGTAAGGGAGGTTGGGCAATAGGGGCGACGATGGAGAGAGGCGGAGAAGTAGGAGCGCAGAGGAGCGAGCTGAAGAGGAGCGAGCTGAAGAGGAGCGAGCTGAAGAGGAGCGAGCTGAAGAGGAGCGAGCTGAAGAGGAGCGAGCTGAAGAGGAGCGAGCTGAAGAGGAGCGAGCTGAAGAGGAGCGAGCTGAAGAGGAGCGAGCTGAAGAGGAGCGAGCTGAAGAGGAGCGAGCTGAAGAGGAGCGAGCTGAAGAGGAGCGAGCTGAAGAGGAGCGAGCTGAAGAGGAGCGAGCTGAAGAGGAGCGAGCTGAAGAGGAGCGAGCTGAAGAGGAGCGAGCTGAAGAGGAGCGAGCTGAAGAGGAGCGAGCTGAAGAGGAGCGAGCTGAAGAGGAGCGAGCTGAAGAGGAGCGAGCTGAAGAGGAGCGAGCTGAAGAGGAGCGAGCTGAAGAGGAGCGAGCTGAAGAGGAGCGAGCTGAAGAGGAGCGAGCTGAAGAGGAGCGAGCTGAAGAGGAGCGAGCTGAAGAGGAGCGAGCTGAAGAGGAGCGACCTGAAGAGGAGCGAGCTGAAGAGGAGCGAGCTGAAGAGGAGCGAGCTGAAGAGGAGCGAGCTGAAGAGGAGCGAGCTGAAGAGGAGCGAGCTGAAGAGGTGCGAGCTGAAGAGGAGCGAGCTGAAGAGGAGCGAGCTGAAGAGGAGCGAGCTGAAGAGGAGCGAGCTGAAGAGGAGCGAGCTGAAGAGGAGCGAGCTGAAGAGGAGCGAGCTGAAGAGGAGCGAGCTGAAGAGGAGCGAGCTGAAGAGGAGCGAGCTGAAGAGGAGCGAGCTGAAGAGGAGCGAGCTGAAGAGGAGCGAGCTGAAGAGGAGCGAGCTGAAGAGGAGCGAGCTGAAGAGGAGCGAGCTGAAGAGGAGCGAGCTGAAGAGGAGCGAGCTGAAGAGGAGCGAGCTGAAGAGGAGCGAGCTGAAGAGGAGCGAGCTGAAGAGGAGCGAGCTGAAGAGGAGCGAGCTGAAGAGGAGCGAGCTGAAGAGGAGCGAGCTGAAGAGGAGCGAGCTGAAGAGGAGCGAGCTGAAGAGGAGCGAGCTGAAGAGGAGCGAGCTGAAGAGGAGCGAGCTGAAGAGGAGCGAGCTGAAGAGGAGCGAGCTGAAGAGGTGCGAGCTGAAGAGGAGCGTGCTGAAGAGGAGCGAGCTGAAGAGGAGCGAGCTGAAGAGGAGCGAGCTGAAGAGGAGCGAGCTGAAGAGGAGCGAGCTGAAGAGGAGCGAGCAGAAGAGGAGCGAGCTGAAGAGGAGCGAGCTGAAGAGGAGCGAGCTGAAGAGGAGCGAGCTGAAGAGGTGCGAGCTGAAGAGGAGCGAGCTGAAGAGGAGCGAGCTGAAGAGGAGCGAGCTGAAGAGGAGCGAGCTGAAGAGGAGCGAGCTGAAGAGGAGCGAGCTGAAGAGGAGCGAGCTGAAGAGGAGCGAGCTGAAGAGGAGCGAGCTGAAGAGGAGCGAGCTGAAGAGGAGCGAGCTGAAGAGGAGCGAGCTGAAGAGGAGCGAGCTGAAGAGGAGCGAGCTGAAGAGGAGCGAGCTGAAGAGGAGCGAGCTGAAGAGGAGCGAGCTGAAGAGGAGCGAGCTGAAGAGGTGCGAGCTGAAGAGGAGCGAGCTGAAGAGGAGCGAGCTGAAGAGGAGCGAGCTGAAGAGGAGCGAGCTGAAGAGGAGCGAGCTGAAGAGGAGCGAGCTGAAGAGGAGCGAGCTGAAGAGGAGCGAGCTGAAGAGGAGCGAGCTGAAGAGGAGCGAGCTGAAGAGGAGCGAGCTGAAGAGGAGCGAGCTGAAGAGGAGCGAGCTGAAGAGGAGCGAGCTGAAGAGGAGCGAGCTGAAGAGGAGCGAGCTGAAGAGGAGCGAGCTGAAGAGGAGCGAGCTGAAGAGGAGCGAGCTGAAGAGGAGCGAGCTGAAGAGGAGCGAGCTGAAGAGGAGCGAGCTGAAGAGGAGCGAGCTGAAGAGGAGCGAGCTGAAGAGGAGCGAGCTGAAGAGGAGCGAGCTGAAGAGGAGCGAGCTGAAGAGGAGCGAGCTGAAGAGGAGCGAGCTGAAGAGGAGCGAGCTGAAGAGGAGCGAGCTGAAGAGGAGCGAGCTGAAGAGGAGCGAGCTGAAGAGGAGCGAGCTGAAGAGGAGCGAGCTGAAGAGGAGCGAGCTGAAGAGGAGCGAGCTGAAGAGGAGCGAGCTGAAGAGGAGCGAGCTGAAGAGGAGCGAGCTGAAGAGGAGCGAGCTGAAGAGGAGCGAGCTGAAGAGGAGCGAGCTGAAGAGGAGCGAGCTGAAGAGGAGCGAGCTGAAGAGGAGCGAGCTGAAGAGGAGCGAGCTGAAGAGGAGCGAGCTGAAGAGGAGCGAGCTGAAGAGGAGCGAGCTGAAGAGGAGCGAGCTGAAGAGGAGCGAGCTGAAGAGGAGCGAGCTGAAGAGGAGCGAGCTGAAGAGGAGCGAGCTGAAGAGGAGCGAGCTGAAGAGGAGCGAGCTGAAGAGGAGCGAGCTGAAGAGGAGCGAGCTGAAGAGGAGCGAGCTGAAGAGGAGCGAGCTGAAGAGGAGCGAGCTGAAGAGGAGCGAGCTGAAGAGGAGCGAGCTGAAGAGGAGCGAGCTGAAGAGGAGCGAGCTGAAGAGGAGCGAGCTGAAGAGGAGCGAGCTGAAGAGGAGCGAGCTGAAGAGGAGCGAGCTGAAGAGGAGCGAGCTGAAGAGGAGCGAGCTGAAGAGGAGCGAGCTGAAGAGGAGCGAGCTGAAGAGGAGCGAGCTGAAGAGGAGCGAGCTGAAGAGGAGCGAGCTGAAGAGGAGCGAGCTGAAGAGGAGCGAGCTGAAGAGGAGCGAGCTGAAGAGGAGCGAGCTGAAGAGGAGCGAGCTGAAGAGGAGCGAGCTGAAGAGGAGCGAGCTGAAGAGGAGCGAGCTGAAGAGGAGCGAGCTGAAGAGGAGCGAGCTGAAGAGGAGCGAGCTGAAGAGGAGCGAGCTGAAGAGGAGCGAGCTGAAGAGGAGCGAGCTGAAGAGGAGCGAGCTGAAGAGGAGCGAGCTGAAGAGGAGCGAGCTGAAGAGGAGCGAGCTGAAGAGGAGCGAGCTGAAGAGGAGCGAGCTGAAGAGGAGCGAGCTGAAGAGGAGCGAGCTGAAGAGGAGCGAGCTGAAGAGGAGCGAGCTGAAGAGGAGCGAGCTGAAGAGGAGCGAGCTGAAGAGGAGCGAGCTGAAGAGGAGCGAGCTGAAGAGGAGCGAGCTGAAGAGGAGCGAGCTGAAGAGGAGCGAGCTGAAGAGGAGCGAGCTGAAGAGGAGCGAGCTGAAGAGGAGCGAGCTGAAGAGGAGCGAGCTGAAGAGGAGCGAGCTGAAGAGGAGCGAGCTGAAGAGGAGCGAGCTGAAGAGGAGCGAGCTGAAGAGGAGCGAGCTGAAGAGGAGCGAGCTGAAGAGGAGCGAGCTGAAGAGGAGCGAGCTGAAGAGGAGCGAGCTGAAGAGGAGCGAGCTGAAGAGGAGCGAGCTGAAGAGGAGCGAGCTGAAGAGGAGCGAGCTGAAGAGGAGCGAGCTGAAGAGGAGCGAGCTGAAGAGGAGCGAGCTGAAGAGGAGCGAGCTGAAGAGGAGCGAGCTGAAGAGGAGCGAGCTGAAGAGGAGCGAGCTGAAGAGGAGCGAGCTGAAGAGGAGCGAGCTGAAGAGGAGCGAGCTGAAGAGGAGCGAGCTGAAGAGGAGCGAGCTGAAGAGGAGCGAGCTGAAGAGGAGCGAGCTGAAGAGGAGCGAGCTGAAGAGGAGCGAGCTGAAGAGGAGCGAGCTGAAGAGGAGCGAGCTGAAGAGGAGCGAGCTGAAGAGGAGCGAGCTGAAGAGGAGCGAGCTGAAGAGGAGCGAGCTGAAGAGGAGCGAGCTGAAGAGGAGCGAGCTGAAGAGGAGCGAGCTGAAGAGGAGCGAGCTGAAGAGGAGCGAGCTGAAGAGGAGCGAGCTGAAGAGGAGCGAGCTGAAGAGGAGCGAGCTGAAGAGGAGCGAGCTGAAGAGGAGCGAGCTGAAGAGGAGCGAGCTGAAGAGGAGCGAGCTGAAGAGGAGCGAGCTGAAGAGGAGCGAGCTGAAGAGGAGCGAGCTGAAGAGGAGCGAGCTGAAGAGGAGCGAGCTGAAGAGGAGCGAGCTGAAGAGGAGCGAGCTGAAGAGGAGCGAGCTGAAGAGGAGCGAGCTGAAGAGGAGCGAGCTGAAGAGGAGCGAGCTGAAGAGGAGCGAGCTGAAGAGGAGCGAGCTGAAGAGGAGCGAGCTGAAGAGGAGCGAGCTGAAGAGGAGCGAGCTGAAGAGGAGCGAGCTGAAGAGGAGCGAGCTGAAGAGGAGCGAGCTGAAGAGGAGCGAGCTGAAGAGGAGCGAGCTGAAGAGGAGCGAGCTGAAGAGGAGCGAGCTGAAGAGGAGCGAGCTGAAGAGGAGCGAGCTGAAGAGGAGCGAGCTGAAGAGGAGCGAGCTGAAGAGGAGCGAGCTGAAGAGAAGCCATCAATTGCATGTGGTCATGCACAAGCCATCAATTGCATGTGGTCATGCACAAGCCATCAATTGCATGTGGTCATGCACAAGCCATCAATTGCATGTGGTCATGCACAAGCCATCAATTGCATGTGGTCATGCACAAGCCATCAATTGCATGTGGTCATGCACAAGCCATCAATTGCATGTGGTCATGCACAAGCCATCGATTGCATGTGGTCATGCACAAGCCATCCATTGCATGTGGTCATGCACAAGCCATCCATTGCACGTGGTCATGCACAAGCCATCCATTGCATGTGGTCATGCACAAGCCATCAATTGCATGTGGTCATGCTCGTTATGCGCTTGACCGAGCACAAGCTGCACTCATCACAACTACTGCACTCGACCTTCTCAACAACCAACAGCAATGAATGGGGTGAGGGGCTTAAGGAAAAGGGTGTGGGAGTCTGACGGAGCAGTCATCAATACAGGGCAGACGACACACGAGTGGGGCATTCATGATGGGGCAGTCATCACTAAGGCGGGCTGATAGCGGTAGTAGCAGTAGCATTGGGTCGCACGGATGGGCTTCTTGGTGATGTATTAATGAGTGGGGCGGTGTCATGATGGCTCGTTAGGTAGCAGCAGTGGCACGGATGCAGTAGCAGTGGGTCGCACCGATGGGGTCCTTGATGGTGTCATAGTAGTCGGGCACCTCGCTGCCGTCCACTGGGTCCTTGATCTGATAGCAGCACGCACCTCACTGGTAGCAGTGGCAGCGACTCACAAGCACGAGCATTACTAGCACGCACCGATGGGGTGATGATGGCATACCGATGGGGTCTTTGATGATGTCATAGTAGTCGGGCACCTCACTGCCGTCCACTGGGTCCTTGAACGGCCACGAGTCCGCATGCTCCATCACCGCCTGCCCTCCACGCCATGGTGAGGTGTGGTGGCATGGTGGCATGGTGGCATGGTGGCATGGTGGCATGGCGGCATGGCGGCATGGTGGCATGGTGGCATGGTGGCATGGTGGCATGGTGGCATGGTGCAGAAGAAAGGGCATGGTGACAAACTTTGAAGCTTCGTGAATGGAGTGACAATTGGACAGCAGGGCGCAAGGAGTGAGGAGCAGAAGCAGAAGGGGCACGGGCAACACGCCCTACCCGGTGCATCTGCTTCATCAGGTTGTGCAGCTGGGCCTTGGTGGGCGGCCCGTCGCGGCTCACATCCTTTGTCCCATCTGGCGCCACCTGCACCAATCGGATCTTATTCGCGCCACTCTTCTCGGGCGTCCACCCGCTCTCCGCCAGCCCGGGGATGTCGGCAAGCCTGAGAGCGCGCCTGGGCACGCCCCAGGAGTCACGCGGGAAGTCCAGCCCGGGGTGCACCACATGGCTGCGCGCCACCTGGCGCATGCGCTCCGTTATGGCCTGGAGGGGTGGGGTTGGGGGGGGAGGGGAAGGAAGGGTGGTGGCAGGTGAGCGGGATGTGCACCTGGGCAGATGGTTACGCGAGCATGGCATGCCGTGGCGTGGCGTGGCGTGGCGTGGCGTGGGATGGAGTAGCTGCACCTTCCCGTGTGCACGTGTAAGGCTGTGTGAAGAGACGCGGGATTGGAGGGAGACGGTTTGCATGGAACGTGATGTGCCACAAGGGAACGAGAGTGGTACCTCTGCTTCCCCCGTTGCATGACACAAGGAAATTGCCCCCCCACCTGCCACTGCCCCCCCCACCTGCCACTGCCCCCCCACCTGCCACTGCCCCCCCACCTGGCGCTGCTTGAGCAGCACGGCGGGCAGTGTGGTGTAGGGCAGCCCCTTCTCCAGCACACACTCCATCAGCGTGCCCCCGTCGTAGTCCTTTATGTACCTGCCGTGGCGAGTTGCGAGCGGCGAGGGGCCAGGGGTGAGGGGCGAGCGAGGAGGGAAGTGGGAGAAAGGGTTTAGGGTGGAAGAAAGGGGAGGAGAGGGGAAGGGGGAGAAACGGGAGGGAGAGGGATAGAAGGTTCATACGCTCGTGGTATAATAAGTAACTGGATGAGTGGACGAATGGAGACACAAGAGTGATTGCAAGGATTGGTGGACTGGATTGGTGGGCTGGATTGGTGGGCTGGATTGGTGGGCTGGATTGGTGGGCTGGATTGGTGGGCTGGATTGGTGGGCTGGATTGGTGGGCTGGATTGGTGGGCTGGATTGGTGGGCTGGATTGGTGGGCTGGATTGGTGGGCTGGATTGGTGGGCTGGAGTGGTGGGCGTAAACTGGTTCGACCCAGTAACGAGACGTACCCCTCCCATTGCGCTTTAGGCATGGTGATCTCCTTGGTGAATCCCTGCATACACACATACACACATGCACACATGCACACATGCACACATGCACACATGCACACACAAGCACACATGCACACACAAGCACACATGCACACATGCACACATATGCACACACATGCACATGCACACATGCACACGCATGCAAACATGCACACACATGCACATACATGCACACGTGCACACATGCACCAAAGGAATTGAAAGGCCAGGAAAGAGAGTCATTGAGACAGAAAACACAGCACGGAAGGGAGAAGCTGGAAGGGAAGGAGAAGGTGGAAGGAAAAGCAGAGAAACAAGGGTGGCATGGCATTGCTGTCAACAACAACAACCATCGGGCATGCAGGCATGCAGGCATGGAGGCATGCAGGCATGCAGGTATGCAGGTATGCAGGCATGCAGGTATGCAGGCATGCAGGTATGCAGGCATGCAGGTATGCAGGCATGCAGGTATGCAGCATGGGCAGCATGGGCACCTGCTTGACGAAGTAGCCAACAGCGTTGTTGTCGGCGTAGGTGAGGAAGTAGCGCAGCCCGTCCTCATCCCTCGCATACGCCTTGAGGTGATTCATCAGCCTCGTGCCGTACCCCCTCACCTGCACCCCGTGCAGCACAACATGCACAAAACGCACCATGTACAACACGATGGGCATTGGGACAGCTAGTATGGACAGCCGGTATGGACACAGCCATTTTCAGCTGAGAGCCGCTTCAACCCCGACCTGAAGCTCACACAGCACGCAGCCACCATAGACACAGCTCACACAGTCGTACAGCTGACATGCACACACACAGGCACAGGCACACGCACAGCAAGGTCCTCTAGACACCCACGGGAAACTCGGGACACACACACACGTGGCGAGTATTCTCATGGAGATTACATGCTCACTCTCCCTCATGCCGCTCACCTGCTCCGTGGCAGTGATGGCACAAAACGCTATCTCCCCAAACCGCTGCCTGCAAACAGTGGTGTGATGCCATGTGCATGGTGAAAAAGGTTTGAGCTGTACGCAAAAGGACAACAACTTGCTACGGGACATACTATTACAGTTAGGTTTTGCACAGAAATAACTTATGATGATATCTCATTTCAACACAATGCACATACACTCACGAGGGGTAGGCACAATCACGAGGGGTAGGCACAATCACGAGGGGTAGGCACAATCACTAGGGGTAGGGGAACTCACGAGGGGTAGGCACAATCACGAGGGGTAGGGGCACTCACGAGGGGTAGGGGCACTCACGAGGGGTAGGGGCACTCACGCTGTTCTTATTTCAACACAATGCACGCACACTCACGAGGGGTAGGGGCGGTATGTGATGCCCCCGACCACCGTGGCGGCCTTGATGAGCATCATTGACTTGTGCGTTCTGATGGCACATGCGCGTGGCGTGCATGGAGGGAAAAGGTGGGGATGAATAAAAGCACATGAGCAGGACGCATGCAGATGACTCATCACAGCCTGAAAAGAGCATCGGAGATTGAAAACTGTGCCCATCCACCAACCCCGTGAAATATCCCACATACTGGCTACATGAACAATGGAAATGAAGTGACTTAGCTTCAAGCTACTGTCACCTCAGGCTTGTTAACGGGCCGTGGATTTTAAGTCCCAACAGGTGTCCAGAGCATTACAGACAGGATACAAGCATTCGCACAGTAGCATCACACACATCTCGAGCCGCACCTTGCTGGTGGAGCAGCAGGCAGCACAGTGACTGACCGGTCGAGCAGCACCCTCTCACGTACCGGTCGAGCAGCAGGCGCACGATGTAGTCTTTGGGCATGTTGGGCAGCTGGCGTGAAAATATGTTCTTCAACCCCACCAGCCTGCATTCACACACTCACACGCATGCCATGCCCATGCCCATGCCCATGCCCATACCCATGCCCATACCCATGCCCATGCCCATGCCCATGCCCAGGAAGGACAAGGGAAAGGAGCGGATGGAATGGATTCAAAGCAAGGACAGTGGGAGCGAATACGGAGAGGGAAGAGATAGGTTTGGAGGAAGAGATAGGTTTGGAGGAAGAGATAGGTTTGGAGGAAGAGATAGGTTTGGAGGAAGAGATAGGTTTGGAGGAAGAGATAGGTTTGGAGGAAGAGATAGGTTTGGAGGAAGAGATAGGTTTGGAGGAAGAGATAGGTTTGGAGGAAGAGATAGGTTTGGAGGAAGAGACAGGTTTGGAGGAAGAGATAGGTTTGGAGGAAGAGACAGGTTTGGAGGAAGAGATAGGTTTGGAGGAAGAGATAGGTTTGGAGGAAGAGATAGGTTTGGAGGAAGAGATAGGTTTGGAGGAAGAGATAGGTTTGGAGGAAGAGATAGGTTTGGAGGAAGAGATAGGTTTGGAGGAAGAGATAGGTTTGGAGGAAGAGATAGGTTTGGAGGAAGAGATAGGTTTGGAGGAAGAGATAGGTTTGGAGGAAGAGATAGGTTTGGAGGAAGAGATAGGTTTGGAGGAAGAGACAGGTTTGGAGGAAGAGATAGGTTTGGAGGAAGAGACAGGTTTGGAGGAAGAGATAGGTTTGGAGGAAGAGATAGGTTTGGAGGAAGAGATAGGTTTGGAGGAAGAGATAGGTTTGGAGGAAGAGATAGGTTTGGAGGAAGAGATAGGTTTGGAGGAAGAGATAGGTTTGGAGGAAGAGATAGGTTTGGAGGAAGAGATAGGTTTGGAGGAAGAGATAGGTTTGGAGGAAGAGATAGGTTTGGAGAAAGAGATAGGTTTGGAGGAAGAGATAGGTTTGGAGGAAGAGATAGGTTTGGAGGAAGAGATAGGTTTGGAGAAAGAGATAGGTTTGGAGGAAGAGATAGGTTTGGAGGAAGAGATAGGTTTGGAGAAAGAGATAGGTTTGGAGGAAGAGATAGGTTTGGAGGAAGAGATAGGTTTGGAGGAAGAGATAGGTTTGGAGAAAGAGATAGGTTTGGAGGAAGAGATAGGTTTGGAGGAAGAGATAGGTTTGGAGGAAGAGATAGGTTTGGAGGAAGAGATAGGTTTGGAGGAAGAGATAGGTTTGGAGGAAGAGATAGGTTTGGAGGAAGAGATAGGTTTGGAGGAAGAGATAGGTTTGGAGGAAGGACGGCACGGCCCTTGACAGGGCATCGATTGCATGAATCAACAGGCCCAGGCGCCAATCGGTTGGATCACAGCCATACACACACCCAACCTGATCTACCCAACCTTATCTACCCAACCTTATCCACCCAACCTTATCTACCCAACCTTATCTACCCAACCTTATCTACCCAACCTTATCTACCCAACCTTATCTACCCAACCTTATCTACCCAACCTTATCTACCCGACCTTATCTACCCGACCTTATCCACCCAACCTTATCTACCCAACCTTATCTACCCAACCTTATCTACCCAACCTTATCTACCCAACCTTATCTACCCAACCTTATCTACCCAACCTTATCTACCCAACCTTATCCACCCAACCTGATCTACCCAACCTGATCTACCCAACCTTATCTACCCAACCTTATCTACCCAACCTTATCTACCCAACCTTATCTACCCAACCTGATCTACCCAACCTTATCCACCCAACCTTATCCACCCAACCTTATCTACCCAACCTTATCTACCCAACCTTATCTACCCAACCTTATCTACCCAACCTTATCTACCCAACCTTATCTACCCAACCTTATCTACCCAACCTTATCTACCCAACCTTATCTACCCAACCTTATCTACCCAACCTTATCTACCCAACCTTATCTACCCAACCTTATCTACCCAACCTTATCTACCCAACCTTATCTACCCAACCTTATCCACCCAACCTTATCTACCCAACCTTATCTACCCAACCTTATCTACCCAACCTTATCTACCCAACCTTATCTACCCAACCTTATCTACCCAACCTTATCTACCCAACCTTATCCACCCAACCTGATCTACCCAACCTGATCTACCCAACCTTATCTACCCAACCTTATCCACCCAACCTTATCTACCCAACCTTATCTACCCAACCTTATCTACCCAACCTTATCTACCCAACCTTATCTACCCAACCTTATCTACCCAACCTTATCTACCCAACCTTATCCACCCAACCTTATCTACCCAACCCTGCCACAAGCCCGGGCAGTTGCCATGCCATGCCCTGCCGTGCATCCTCGTACCACCATGCATGCATCCTCGTACCACCATGCATGCATCCTCGTACCACCATGCATGCATCCTCGTACCACCATGCATGCATCCTCGTACCACCATGCATGCATCCTCGTACCACCATGCATGCATCCTCGTACCACCATGCATGCATCCTCGTACCACCATGCATGCATCCTCGTACCACCATGCATGCATCCTCGTACCACCATATGCCTTACGAGACTATCTGTGTGCATCATACCATATCATGTGTTCGTCCACCCCATCGTTTCGGCAGCATATGAATTTCAGAGTGCCAGCCGCCTCCTGCCACCACAGGGAGGTGTGGGGTGGGGTGGGGTGGGGTGGGACGAGGTGGGGTGGTGTGGAAGGGGAAGGAGTGGGGTGCCGCGGGGCAGATGGAAAACGGCAAGCAGTGGAGAGGACAAGGGAAGACGGGAAGGCGACAAGGTGTGTGTGGGGGAGGGTGGAAGGTGTTGCAAATGATGGCACGAAAATAGGAGGACATAGAGTGCGGAGGAGAGGTGAGGGACGGGGGAATGAACACAGTGGTGTGGAACGGGAAGACTGGTGTAACGCCAGTGGGCTGGTTAATGGGCATTCCGCTGCGCCATATAACACCTCGTTTTGACCCAGTGGGTAGCGAGATGTTATAGCTGGCATGCCATGCACCGCCATCAGCCATGCACCAGTTACATCCACCCATCCCATTCGACTACTTTCCCTCCTCTGCTCCCCCTTCACTACTCTCTCCCCTCACCCCCTTAATCACACCTCCGTCATGCTTCCACCTCACCCCCCTCCCTCCCTCCCCCTGCCGCCCACCTCCGCGTGCAGGCTCGCTTCCCGCGCGCAGTAAGCGCCGCTCGCCGCCTGCTCCTTCCCCACATCCTCCGCGTTCTCCCCACCGCTTGCCCCTCCTTGCGCCTGGCCCTCTCCGCGCGCCTCCGCCTTCACGTCCCCTCCGCCCGCCTCTCCCCCGCGCGCCACTGCCTTCTCGTCGCCCTCCGCCGCCCCGTCAGCGTCGTCGAATCCCCCGCCAAACTCCCCCCCGCCTCCACCTATTTCCCCGCCCCCTGCGCTATCAAATCTCCGGTCGTGGTTGTCGGCGCTAGCCCAACCGCCCCTCCCATCCGTTCCCATCACAGCAGAATGTTTCTCGCGGCCTTCGTGCGAGAACCGTGTAACAATCCCCACGGTCGTTCGTCGTGAACCCACGCGATTCTCGCGAGATGGATGGTCAGCTGGGGAGCGACTGTCTTGTCCGAGCGGGAAGAGAAGGAAGTGAAGGTTCTCCCTACGGAGAAGGAAGAGAAGGTTGTCCTAGGGAGAGGGAAGAGGTAGGGTTGGAGGAGGGACGGCACGGCCCTTTGCAGCGCGTAAGAGAGCTTCTCCTACCATTTGCACCCCGAAGCAAGACTTCGTCGTTGGAATAGCGCAAGGATTGTTCCTGTTAGTTACCTTAGGCGTGTTGTTCGTATAGTGGGTGGATGGTTTGCGTCGAGGGGGTGTTTGAGAAAACTCATCTGGTGGGTTCAGTCCCCTCTGCATCGGCGATGCTGCTGAGTTACAATTGAAGATTCGTACAAGTCACGAGGTGCGCGAAAACCTCTGCGACTGTCGCTTACGTCGCCAGTGCCGAGAGGTTCTGCGGGGAACTGTGTTGGGAAGTTGAGGGTACCCCGTGAAGGTGACCTTGTTGCTCCCCTCCCCAGTTTCAAAACAGTTTCGGCGGAGCCTTCCACCGCCTTCCCCCTTTTCCTCGCCCTTCCGCTCCTTCCGCGCGTGGGATGCTTGTCGCCCTCCCTGCGCGCAATGACTTCGTTTCGCTCAGACGCTGCTTCACATTCAACGGAGCAAATTAGGCGTTGCGAGGGGGTCGTGCTCCCTCTCTCCCTCTCGCTCTCCCACTCCTGCGTGGTGCTTTCCCCTCATTCCTGCATAATTTGCACCACGCACGTCACGTTGCGCGGATCGCGCAGGTCGCGCGGGTCGCGCGGCACATTCGACGGCGTCAAGGGGCACGTGCGAGCAGCTCTGCGCGCCCCACTGGATGATGCTGCGCCGCCCCACGTGAGCCCCCTCAATCCCTCCCGCCCTCCCTCGCCGCCTCCCTCCCTTGCTCCCTCATTCCTCCCAACGCACGGGTCGCGCTGCTGCTGCCCATCGTGCCCATAGCCGGCGCACCTAGCCACCTGTTCATCTTCCCGCATCGCCCATCCCCCGCATCGCCCATCCCCCGCATCGCCCATCCCCCGCATCGCATCAACTCCATCAGCTCCCTCTTCCCTGTCCCCCCTGCTCCCCACCCACCCACTCTTTCCCTCATCCCCAGTGCTGCCCTGATTGCATCAGCTACATACCCTGATCACACGTTTCCCTCCTCTTCCCTGTTCCCCACCCACTCTTTCCTTCATCCCTTCCATCCCCAGTGCTGCAGAGGCCCTCGTTACAAGAACACTCGCTGTGTCACACACCGCTCGTGAGTCACGCCATACAGCCCGCATGCCCCGCCCCCTCGCCTCCTGCACAGCAGCCCTTTCCCTCCCACTCGCTCCCCGTGCCTCCCCCACCCTGCACCTCCCGTCATCTCGCACTGCCCATCAAGTAACTGCCCTCCCCTGCCCACACACCATTCACAGCATTCACACCATTCACGCCACCAGGCACACCCAGCTCGCGTGCAGCGTTCATCCCACTCCCACGCAGCACACGCATTGCCTCCGTCAGAAGCCAGCGCGCCCCCCACACACGCTGCAGTGCCGCAGCAGCAGCAAGCGCGCCTCTCTGCCGCCACCTGCCTGCCTGACCCACCCGGGGCGAGTGGGTGCCAGCCGCTCTCCGCCACACCCCGTGTGGCCTGCTTTCTACACTCCCAGGATCCAGCAGAGCAGGGGTATGGCTGGGAGTGCTGTTGGCGCTGCTGCGGGCGCAGCAGATAGCGCTGCAGCAGGGGGGCCAGCTGGGGCAAGTGGTGCGGAGGGCGCAGAGGGGACCGTGGCACAGGGAACAGCAGAGGGAGGCGCCACAGGCGCGCAGGAGAAGAGTGGGGCAGGGAAGGGGGCACTGCAGGGGAGCGGGGAGGGGCAGGGGCAAGGGCAGGGCGAGGGCAAGGGGGAGGGCGAGGGCGAGGGGGAGGGTGGGGAAGCGGGAGGGGCGGGGGAGGAGGAGGAGCCGTTGGTGCAGCACGTGGTGATTCGGCGCGACCTGATGGAGGCGCTGCAGTGGCCGCTGGGGTCCGTGATCACACAGGGCTGCCATGCCAGTGTGGCTGTGCTGTGGCAGCACCGCGATCACCCCAACGTGCTCAAGTACTGTGGCCAGCTCGACTCCATGCGCAAGGTGGGTGCGGTGATGCCGTGTGGAAAGGGTTAAACAGTTTCTGGAGGTGTTTTCTGTTTTAGGAGGTGTTTTCTGTTTTAGGAGGTGTTTTCTGTTTTATTAACAAAACAGCCACTTTATGAGACCAAATTGAACCAGAAATTCAGCAGGATGAAGGGGACGAACCCCTTCTTGCATGTGTCCTGTTGTTGGCATGATAAAGAAGAATGTATTTGACCTTGTTCTTCTCTCTCTCTTTTTTTTTTTTTTTTTATCACCGTAAAAAACGGACCGTATTTTACGGAAACTGAATTTTGAACCTTGCGTGTGGGCATTGCTGCTCACCAGCGCGCTCAACAACTCGCATCTCTGGATCCCAGGCACCCAGTGTTTCGAACTTATGATTTCAGGCTTGAGATTTGGAGCCTTGAACCCTTGGTTGAACTTGCGGCTTCAGATTTCACAATATTGCTTCATATGGTGTGCATGAATTGACTTCTTGGGGCGGAGGGGGAGAGGGGGAGGGGGGGGGAGGGTGAGGTTTGCAGCACTTCTGTTACCGGCAACGCAGCATTCTGAATCCGTGAAGCCACAGGAACATCTGGTTGGAGCTAGGAAAGAGCTCACGGATGTTACTGGCCGTTTTGAGCTCGAAAACAGGGTAACTCGACTCGATGGCTTTACTCTGGAAAGCTGGGGTCTTGCGTCACCTTGTTTGAAGCATGGTTGCTTGAGTTTTCAGTTGGGTAGTAACTGCGTTCCCCAGAGTCATCATCGGTGTCAGCCACTATCATCATCGGTATCAGCCACTATCATCATGGGCATCAACCACTATCATCATGGGCATCAACCACTATCATCATCCCTCACAACCCTCAGTGGATGTTCAACATCTCTTCCCGCCCCCACCAACCCCCCTCCCCCCCCTTTTATCCTCCCTCACCCCCTACGTCTAACCTACATTATTAATTCCAAAACCCTCATAGAAATTATGAGTTTTTTCTCTCTCCTCTGATGCCTCCTGTTGCTGCATATTCGCATATATACCCCGCGAAACTGCCAGCCAACTCTCGTTCGCCCTTTGAGCACAACATAGGCGTTTTCCTCACTCGGTTGATTCATTTTATTCTCCCTTTCTTTCCGCCACGCACTTCGGGGCAGATTTGCTATTTCAATCTCACGTCACGTCACTTCAGTCTACGACTTAGACGGCAGTTTTATAGCTCTAATGGCACAGCGTTCATATGGCCATGAACCATTCAGCACCTCATCCAGTGTTGTAGTCCTGTTACTGATTCTTCAAACAATTCTTCTTCCCCGTTGCCGCCCTCCCCTCTCTCCCCCCTCAGGTGACACTAGAGGTGAAGGGGGAGACGCAGCTGTTGAACCTGTCCAAGAAGCTGCAGGAGGCGGGCATCACGCACCGTGTGTGGATGGAGCAGCCTGAGAACATGCCCACCTGCATCGCCACTCTCCCACACCCCAAGAGCGTTGTCGCGCCTCACATGAGGAAGCTCAAGCTGTGTAAATGAAGGAGATGTAACCCTTTGAGTAAACGATATACCGTGGAACTGGTTTCTCATATGAAGTGACTCGTGTTGCTTGTGTTATTCAAGGATGCTTCAAAAACCTAAAAGCAACGGGAGATTGTCACTTCATGTGGGGTGAAAATTCACTATTCGGTGGTACCCACCATCTTGGAACCGCATGTGGAAAAATTATAAACAATCGCGAACCCCTCAATAACAGGTACGCATAACCACCACCAACATTTTCCACGTCGGCGCTCGCAACGGCATGCCTGCTAGTGCCCAGTTTCCCGGCTCCTTCGAAAATACACTGAACTTCTGTCGAGGCGCGCAGCTTCAAATTGCTCGCGCCTCGACACCACCGTCAAACCAACCAACCCAGCATAAGCGCCTATCGTGCTCCCCGCCTCCCCATTCGCCTCACGTTCTCCGCCTCCCAACACAGGATCGCTCACCCAACACGAGCGAAACACCTACTCGCACCCTGAAGCGCTGTGGCGGCTTTTGTCCCCAAAGTCAGCCGTGATTCCGATACGACAGGCAGACAGGAAGATAGCAGAACTCGAGTATTTAGCTGAATGAGTTAGACTTTAATCACATGGTGGGGTACCAGCCCTCGCCAGCTTCGTGGCACCGCCATGACGCACCAGAGTGCTGCAATGGATGGCGGTTACTAACATGAAAGATTCGGTATCCTAGGCTACTAACATTTTAGCGGTAAAGATAGGCTCCTGTTGACGCAACGGTACTAGGTGTCGCAATAGCTGTTTCTGTCTCGAAGACCTTGGACCAGGCCATGGCATGCAGCCCGCCGCGCAGCACAGCCTTTCTCAAAGGCGCAATCAGTGTGTACCCTCGACCTCCGCGCGTGTTATCTAGTCCTCTTCCACGCGCACGTTTGAGCCTTGCTAAGGGTGAGCACGTTTCCGCTTCCCATTCCACGGCTGCGTTCTTGCTCAGCTAATGGCTGTATGTTCTGTTATTTGTGATTTATCCTGCATGGGCTTACCTTTGCCGTGTTTGCTGTGCTCTATACGTGTGCGCTTGTTCCCCAGGAAACGACGACATTCTTTGGTTGGAATTCTTCCGGTCGCAGACCCCTCAGCAGCCGTCGCACATCGTCGCACGGACTTTCGTGCGATGCGATGCAGCTCGCCAGGGTTCGTCTCGTCGCCAGAGTCACCAATCAGTGAGCGCGGGCGCGACATCGCGGACCAAGGGGGTGAGAAGCCCTGCCGGGGCGGCGACCGCGGAGCGACTACGGGTGCGGAAGGAGGGCAGCGCGCCGAGGAAAGCGGAGGCACCCGCGCCGGGTGCTGGGCGCGCCAAGGGCGAGCTTGACGCATTCGAGACTTGGCTGTGCGGCGAAGAGGCGCACAGGGAGAGCGTCAAGGGGGAGAAGGACGGCAGCGGCAGGGGCGCAGGCAGACACAGGGGCGGCCCAGCGCAACCGTCGGCGGCTCCGACGGCCACGTCTTCGCAGGTGAGGCACGAGTACGCGGAACGACGTAGCACTCGTAGGCAGGCCGTGTGGCCTTCAATCCGTTACGTCGCACCTCACCTTCGATGCTTCCCGAGTCTTCGTGAGCCATCACTCACCCCCTTCCCCCCTTCCCGTCCCCTCCTCATCCCTTGACCCATTCCCTCAGAGAGCGGCGCAACCGCGCCAGCAGAAGGTGAGCGGCAGCGACCGCGCGAGCCAGAAAACGGGGCAATCAGCCCCAGCTGAGATAAAAAAGCCTGCGGAGGGTCGCGCGGCTCGAGGCGGAGCGACGCACTCCGCCTCGAACGCGCAGCAGAACAAAGCTGGCGAGGCCCCGCGCTGCCGTGGCAGCAACGGTTGCCGGCCCAGCACTGATGGGGCCACCAGCACCAGCTGCAGCAGCAGCTGCGGCAGCGTTGGGTGTACAAAGGTCGGGGCAGAACTGCCCAAGCAAGGTCGGTCTACCGGTGGTGAGGCTCCGTCTCCCCGAACCAATCGACAGGCTAGGCGGGCTCGGAACTCGTATGCCTCGCTGGCTGACGTGGCAATGGCCGGCATGACGTGGATAGCCGGGCCAGAGGGGGTTAAGATCGAGGGAAGCGTGCAGCGGTGGAGGGAGGGCGAGGGGCGGGAGAGGCGCGTGCTGGTGGAGCGCGCAGTCGTGTCGCTGCAGCTCTTCCTGCCGCTCTCGCTCGTCGACCTGTCGCTGCGTGCCATGTGGCAGGGGATCATCAATAAATGGCCTGGCTTGTGTGCGAGCTGGGTGGGAGCGGCAGTGCAGGCGGCTTCTGGTGTAGGCTGCTGGTTCTCGCGACTGAGGGCGTGGTGTGTGGTGCTCGGCGCGCTGCGAGCATTGCATCTGCTGCTCTGGGCGGTCAAGCCCAGGCCGTGTGCCGCATGATGCTGTGTCCGATAAGACCATGCGCCTGTGGACTTCTGACTTACTGATCGTGCTAATCTGGGGTGTAGGTTAGTCTACTCTTTTTGTACAGATTGTGGATGTATTGTGCCCTATAATATTCAGCACAAGGATTTGAGTGCCGTTCTCTCCATTCCATCACCAGGTGGACTTTATGCTCCGCTTTATTCGTCCCGTTTCTAATCAGCAACCTGAGTTGTCTGCATCAACCTCATCTCCGACTAGAAGCATAAGGCCAGCGACTGCCAACACAACACCTCCGATAGACTCCAGGAGAAACGTCATGTGCCTGCGAACCAAGGCCTGAACGTTTACTAAAAAACGTGATCAAGGTTTACATAGAAAAGGCCTGAATAACATCCTAGTCCTAGACCAACCATGATGCTGTCATTATTATGTCCTTGCTCATGTCTATTTGGCTCGCGCTGTTAACAACTTACCAGAAATAGTTGGCATTTGTCAAATGTTGTAGTCTTAGTGATGTGTGTTATAGGGGGTACAACTGTTAGGGTTAGGTTTATGTACCCCAACCAACCTTAGTCCAATCAACACTTTCATTCTTGACATGGTATCACCTAGGTTAGGCTCCTGTGGGATCCCGTTCCTCTCGTTCACGTCCGTAGCGCCCGAGCCTGTCCCGTACCCTAGTGCCCGTTACGCCCGTACTGTCCCCTAGTGCCTATCGCGCTCGTCTTTCTCGTGCCCTAGCGCCCGCTGCTCCTGTCGTCGCGTCGCCCCTGTTGTCCCGTCCCGTCCCGTTGCCCCTGCTGTCCCGTCGCCCCTGGTGTCCCGTCCTGTCGCCCCTGCCGTCGCGTCGCCCCTGCTGTCCCGTCGCCCCTGCTGTCCCGTCCCGTCCCGTCGCCCCTGCTGTCCCGTCGCGTCGCCCCCTGCTGTCCCGTCGTGTTGCGCCTGTCCCTTCTGTCCCGTCTCGTCGCGCTTCCCGTCTCGTCCTGTCGCACGCACCCCGTGCGCCCTGCCCGTCCGTCGCGCCCCCGCTGCGCCCTGCCCGTCCGTCGCGCCCCGTGCGCCCTGCCCGTCCGCGCCTGTCGCGCCCGTCCCTGCCAGTCGCGTCCTGTCCCGTCGCGTTGCACTGTCTGTCACGCCCTACGCAGGCCCTTTCGGCGTTTAGGGTTTCGGCAGCAGCAGTATCCACCTCTACGCTTCCGCTATGGCGACCCCTAGGGTCCTGCGCTTTGACACTGAGGGTAGGCCGCTCGAGTTCTCAGTCCGGCTCCTGCGTGCGCGCCGCCTCTTAGAGAGCCAGGTTCAGGCACACGAGACTCTGTGGGCGCACGCTTCCGGTGACCTACCTGAGCCCGCTGACCCTGCACCCTTAGCAGCTGACCCCACACCTGCAGACAGTGAGCGTTATGCACGCGAGCGTGCTGACGTGACAGCGTGGAAGTCGCGTGACGCTGCGGCCTGCATCGCCCTCAGCAGCCCCCTGAGTCTGAGGAGACCCACTTCACTCAGGTTCGCACGGCTAGTGAGTTCCTGACTGCGATCAAGGCCCGCTACGCTACTCCCACCACTGTCTCTCTTGGTCGCCTGTTCCTTCCGTTCCTGTTTCCTGACCTTGCCTCGTTTGAGCGCACTGCTGACTTGATCACTCATCTGCGCTCGCTCGATTCTAGCTACCGTGCTGCTTGCACTGACGCACAGCTTGCACTGCTCCCTCCCCCCATGGCGATTACTATCTATTCAATCGCCACTAGCCTCCCCGGCCGCCTTGCCTCGGTTCGTGACGCGCTTCTTCTGAAGCACCCTAGCGAGCTCACTATCGAGGTCCTTGAGTCGGCCCTCAAGGACGTCGAGAGCAACCTCCGCTCGGTAGCCTCTGCCTCTGGTGCTGTGCCCCCTCCACTGTTCCACGGGTGCACTGTCCCTCAGCTGCCCACCTTTACTGCCTCCCTTGCCACTGCCGCTACTGACGTGACCGCAACTGCTGTTACGACTTCTTCGCGGTCTCGGGGTAGGAGTGGCAGGAGGGGCGGTCAGGGTGCGAGCGGAGGCGGCGGAGGTGGTGGGGGTGACGTGGCGAGCGGCGGCGGCGGGAGTGCAGGGGCTGGAGGAGCGCCTCGTGCAGCGGCCAGTGACTCCCCTGCTGCAGCTGGTGGAGGTGACGCCCGGGTTCGTCAGCCACCTACTGGTCTGCCAGCCGCAGGGGGTGGAGCAGCGGCGTGGTACCTGACTCAGCGACAGCAGCAGCAGCAGCAGCCGCTCCCCTCGCAGCAGCCACAGCAGCAGCAGGTTTCGGGGCAGGGGTCAGCACAGCGTCAACTGCAGCGCGGTGTCGTCCACCCTCCCTGCACCTATCACGTTATGACAGGTGCCCGCCGCGGCCAGCCTTGTGGCCGCAGCCACCCACCGGGTCAATGCTTTGCTCAGCTTACTGACACGGTTCGATTGGCCTACGGCGTTGACGGCCCTGCCCCTGACTAGCTCCCCCTTGTTCAGACGTACGGCCCCGCTCTGTGGGGCATGTCGGCTTCTCAGTTGGTTGATCTCTTAGGAACTCCTCATGCTATGTATGCTGTTGTTGACTCTAGTGCTTCTGACTCTGTTTACTCGAGTGTTGTTAGCTTATGTGCTAGTCTTGCTGAGGTGCCTGTTGCTAGTATAGGTACTTGTGTAGACACTAGTCCAGGAGCTGCTCCGGAGGACGCTTCGCTGTCTTTCACTCTGGACTCTGGAGCTTCGCACTGTTTCTTCCGCGACCTCATGGCACTTACCCCACTTCCTACGCCGGTCTCTGTAGCACTGGCTGATCCCACTTCGGGACCAGTCACTGCTCGCTACACTACTACGCTTCCGTGCTCGGCTGTTCCCTCCGGTTCTCTGACAGGCTTCCACGTCCCCTCGTTCTCAAGGAACTTGGTGGGCGTGAGGCCGCTCGTGAGTCAGCACGTGGGTGTGTGGATTGAGCCTTCTGGCGAGACTGCGGTTTGTGTCGAAGGGGACATGTACGCGCCTCTCGCCACCTTTATCGCTGATCCGGGCTCTGGTCTCTACACACTTCACACTGGCCCCCGAGGACAGCAGCAGCAGCAGCAGCAGCGGCAGCAGCAGCAGCAGCAGCGGCAGCAGCAGCAGCAGCTACTGCCCCCGACCCCTGTCACTGTCCCCCGTCAGGTTCCCACATCTCACCAGGTTGCCGCGTCTCCCCATGTAGCTGTGTCTGGTCAGGTTCCAGTGTCTGGTCCAGTTGCTGCGTCGTGCTCCTGCCGGTCGCTTGCCCACCTTACTGTTTTGTGGCACCACCGGATGGGGCACCCGTCCATTTCTCGCCTGCACGCTATGTCTAGTCAGCGTCTTGTCTTAGGCCTCCCGCGTGTCTTGCCGTCGTTGCCGCCTTCGCTTGCGCCACCATGCGGTCCCTGCGTCGAGGGTCGGCTGCGCGCCACCCCTCACTCCTCCTCCCTTCGTCCGGCCACCGAGCCCTTCGAGACTCTCCACTTGGACGTCTGGGGCCCCGCCTCGCGCCCTGGCCCTGAGCGAGAGAGTTTATTTCTTGTGGTCGTTGAGAACTACTCCCGCTACACCACAGTGTTCCCCCTGGCGAAGAAGTCCGACGTGACTTCTACGCTGATCCGGTGGATGCTTACCACTGCGGACACTCGTGGTCGTCGTGTCAGTTGTCTTCACTCCGACCGCGGGGGTGCGTTTCGCTCTGGCGTTCTCGCAAGATTCTGTCGCGAGCAGGGCATCCGCCAGTCCTGGACGCTTCCAGAGTCCCCACAGCAGAATGGGGTTGCTGAGCGCCGCATAGGCTTGGTCATGGAGATCGCCCGCACCTCCATGACTCACGCCCGTGCCCCCCATTTTCTGTGGCCCTACGCGGTTCGGTACGCCGCTCACCAGCTGAACCTCTGGCCACGTGTCTCTCGACCAAAAGTTTCACCGACCAGTCTTTGGACCGGGTCCCCTGGTGCTGCGTCGCGTTTTCGTGTCTGGGGTTGCTTGGCACTTGTTCGCGACACCTCCACGGACAAGATCTCGCCTCGCGCTGTTCCATGCGTGTTCCTTGGTTTCCCTGAGGACTCCTCTGACTACACCTTTTACCACCCTCCCCTTCACCGGTTCTTTGACTCTCGTGACGTCCGTTTCGACGAGTCCGTCCCCTACTACGTCAGGTACCCTTGTCGAGGTCTCCCGGTTCCTCCTCCCCCTCTCTTCCTGACTTCAGCTCCCCCTCCTGCTCCCCCGGTACAGCCTCCCCCCCCTGGTCCCGCCCCGTCAGGTGTGTCCCACGCTACCCCTTCCCCCTCGGTAGCCCCTCAGGTGCAGCCTTCTTCCCCGCGGTCCTCCTCCCAGCCTACAGCAGACCCTGCGGGAGCCGATTTTCGTGGCGAGGGCCCTGGAGGTGCTAGCTCTAGAGGTGCTGGAGTTGGAGCAGAGAGCGTACCTGTGCGAGGTCCTGGTTCTGGGGGTGCTGGAGTTGGAGCTGAGCCCGTGACTGCAGGAGACTCTAGTCTTCGGGGAGCTGGTGTTAGTGGAGCTGTCCCTGGGGGTGCTACGAGTGGGGGTGCACCCTCTGCTGGACCTGGAGAGCCTGGAACGGACCCTGTTACTTCTGGTGGTGCTGGCTCTGGGGGTGGTGCGACTGGTTCTTTGGAGAGAGGTCCTGGGGCTACCACCGCTCCGCACACTACTCCTCCCCCCCACCCCTACCCGACCCAACACCAGGCCCGTGTTCGCCGTGCCCGTGAGGAGCAGCTGGAGTTGGAGCGAGAGGAGAGAGAGCTGGAGCGGCAGCAGCTGGAGCTACAGCGGCTGGAGGAGCAGCAGCAGCAGCAGCAGCAGCAGCCGGAGCAGGAGCAGCCGCAGCAGCAGGCGCAGCAGCAGGAGCAGCAGTAGCCGCCGCAGCTGGAGGAGCAGCGGTCGCAGCCGCAGCAGGAGCAGCAGCAGCAACCACCTCCTTCTCCTGTCTCTGGTCTTCGGACCCTCGGCCTCCCCTCTCCTTCTGCTCCCTCCCCCCCCTC